CAGCCAGGAGAGACAGCCAGGAGAGACAGCCAGGAGAGACAGCCAGGAGAGACAGCCAGGAGAGACAGCCAGGAGAGACAGCCAGGAGAGACAGCCAGGAGAGACAGCCAGGAGAGACAGCCAGATCTGGCTCTCTAGGATGTGGGGGGGGAATACAGACCGTCGCTCTGGTATCGCTCCTCACCTTAACCACTTTACCAGCACTGTCGTCATCCTCATCCGCAGAGGCCGGAAGATCTCCAGCTGAAGCTTCAAAAAACGACTTGGTCTTGGGTCTCTTCTTCTCGGCGATGTACAGCAAGCGAGACTCGGAGCGCGACCAGGACAGACATCCGAACTGCTCTGCAGGGACAGACGGGACAACGTAATGACCAGACGGGGACACAGGGTCCCCCCTCCCCCCAAGAACATCTCTGCTATATAAATATCTCTCACCGTCCTCGTACACCTTCCCATGCTTGTCCAGTGCGGTCAGGTTGATGCTCTTCACCTTGCGGTTCTTTTCCCAGACCTGGAGAGAGGGCGATACTCCCATCAGCATGAATCCGACATTATACAATCACAAGGCTCCTCCCCCTTCCCTCCCCTCAGGAGCCATCCATCCCACTAAACCCCACCCCTAAGCAACCAGGCATCCCTCCTTCCACCCCCCTCAAGAAGCAGGACCGGGTCTCCTCCCCCTCCCTACCTCCAGGAACTGGGTGTCCTCTCCTTTCTTATTCTTCGTCTCTCGTAGAACGGCTTTCAGGGCTCCGGATGGTGATTCGCTGCTGAGCAGTCTGGGGGGGGAGGGTAGAAACGGTCAGCCTTTACCCCGTAGTCAGCAGCAGAACTCTGCGCCGTCCCCCCCATACTTACTCTCCTTTGATCTCGCTGCCGCTCCCGCACGCCCCGGCGTACACCACCGCGTCCTTATCATGGAAGACGATGTATTGGCGGCAAAACTTCACCTGCTCGCTGCGATCCAGATCCCTCTGCGCCCATTCTGGAGGAGAGACGCAACACACACAGACGTCACCTCACATTTAAAGGAGAACTACGCGGGAACCTTTTTTTGGCCCAAAGTTCTCTTCGGGGCCACAGAAGAAAATATACTAATGTCCTCCGGGGGGCCCAAAACCCAATATATAGCGCAGAGCCGCGCCGCAGCCGGGATGGATCCCGACAGTACTGCTGAGATCCACCACGCTGGCTGATTGACAGCTGACTCCGCCTATCTAGAGGCAGAGCCAGCTGTGCCCGCCCCCTTCCCTGTCCGCTCCTCCAGTCAGTGCTAGAGGATCGGAAGGGCTGGGGGTGGGATCCCTGACAGTCCCCGCCCCCTGCAGGGAGGCGATCGGGAAGTGAGCGATCGGCGGCGTGTGTTCGCCGCCTTCCCGATCAATAGAGCCGGCAGCTTCAGGGTCACAGGTCGGCTTGTATATCACTCGCCCCATACAAGATGGAGGACTGGACCCCCTGTCAGGTGTCTACTGGTATCTGAGCCCCCTGCTGGGGAGATTAACCCCAATTGCCCTTGGGACAAAAATCCAAAATATTGCGGTTGTCACCATAGGAGGAATAGCAGGGAAATCATCGAGTGGGGACACGAAGAGAGAATTGCATCAATGTGACTGAGGTGACCCCGCAGGTGACATTTTCTTTATGGTGACAACAGGCCCGGCAATTAGAGCAGCAGAATCCAAACCGTCACCCCTCCACATT